TAAAGTACTCTTAAAGCCATTCAACTTTTATTCAGAACTATTTTTTTCTATCTCTCGTAGTATCGATGATATTCGCATTGAAAAAATAAAACCGATTTTTTTCTAAGGGATGTTTCACCCCCTTAACGTGCGACTCAGCACGAATGCAAAAATTGTAGTATCTTATCTTTGTTTGTAATTTAACATATCCAAAGCTCATTGAAATCGGAGGGGGACACTTCCGTGTGTTCCCTTGTTAGAAAGATTATAACATATCACTAAAACAAATCTCATACAGACGTATCAAATCTATGTCTATTAAATTTTTTTTTTCCTTAAACATTTATCTACTTTGAAGTACCTAAAGCCTTAAAAAGATTTTCTCTTTTGTAAAAAAAGTACAAACATTTCTTTTGCTCATTTTTATTTAAAATTGAAAATAAAATATTTCATAAACAATGTTTATTAAAATAACTATAAAACCGTCAAATATAATGTAGATAGATGTTTCATGAATTTTTTAACATTTAAAAAAATTTTAAAATAGTCACACATGAAAGATAAACAATAAAAATCTAAAAAAAAAAAAGAAAACTTACAACTTGGCTGACCTTGATCTATATATAAATCTTGATATTTTAAAGATTGATATAGGTCATTAGAACCTTTTTTAAACAAGAGATTTACCTTGTGTTTTAACTTTGAATATTTCAGAAATTATAAGAATCTACCACTGAATTATTAAGGCAAAGTTACTCAGGAACGAACCTCCTATAACATATATCAAAGTCAAGATCATTCAAACTGTGTAAGTTCTATTAAAGATTTAACGGAAGATTTATTATATTTAATAATAAACACATACGTTTCCATCAACTGATATTATACTTCTTATTAAAAAATCATTAATTTTCAGACAATCGGAGTAAAAGCATACAATACTTTACTTTTTCTAGCAGAGATATTATTGCTTGTTTTGAAAATTGTATACTACATTTGCGAAAATGTGTACAGATTAATCGTCCCACCAAAGAAGAAAGACGTAGATGGTGAAATTGTTTTGGTACGTAAGCAATTTCTAATCTATAAATATTGTTATGTAAAAAGAATATAATTATAAATTTAAATATTTGAAAAGATAAATTATTTTTATTACGTGAGAATTTATTAAAAATTATACCGTTATATTATAAAATTTTATGTGTGTGTGTGTGTGTGTTAAAATTAATTAAAATAATACTAAATTTAAAAGGTTAAAATTATAAAATGTTAAATTTAAGTGTAAATTATTTCGTTTCATCAAAATTAATTTATCCTATATAGATTCATCTTAAATAAATTTTATCTTATATGTATAGATATCATAAAATAGAGAGAGAAATACACACAAAACTTATGACACTAATATTTTTATATTTAACATTTTAAATTTTCTATTTTCTCTCTATCTAATTAGCCTTTCTTTCTTTTTTACCACAGATAACCCAGTGAGAAATAATTAAATTAATGTTGAATCAATATTGATACAATAATTACAAATAAACTAACCAAAATTCAACATCAATTTGATGTCTAATTGGCAACTATTTCTCATTGGGAAATGCAAATTATGTTGAGTATTTTATGTTATGTTTAGTTGCTGATTGTCTCCCTATATGCTGTAAACTTGCTATTTGATGCATTCGTTTTCCTATGTATTTTGTCAAGCAATTTCGTAACTTAATTCTTTCAAAGCATAAATAACATGAAAATTTAGCTAGAAAATATAACATCGATTATTTTACAAACTTAAAAGTTATGAACTATAATTTATAATATTTATAACTTAAATTATACGTTATATGTATATACTATCATAGATAACAGGTGCAGGTCATGGCATTGGTAAAGAATTAGCGATTGGCTACGCTTTTTTAGGGGCAACAATCATATGTTGGAGTAAAAATGAAGAAAACACCAACCAAACGATGGATGATATTAAAAACATGGGAATAGATTCTGTATATGCATATCGGTAAATTAATACTGCTTTTTTTTACAAGATTCAATTAAAATGAGAAAAGTATTCAAATATAATTAACATTATGTGCACAAATACAATACTTGCAAACTATAAAGTAAAATTGTCAGTATTGATTAAAGTTTAATCAGGTTTGATAGATGTAATGTAGCAGATAGGGAAGAAGTCTTCCGGGTAGCGGAGAAAGTAAAAAAAGAAGTGGGTGACGTTACTATCTTGATCAACAACGCCGGTGTAGGAATTGCTAAATCGTTACTAAATCAAAGCTTCGACGATATTGAACGAGTTATAGACGTCAACCTGAAAGCGCATTATTGAGCAAGTAATATAATCTGTCGAAGAAACGGAAAGAAGAATTTTTTTTGCTCTGAATATATGACATTATAGAGGTATTGTAATATAGATTAAAATAAAAAACAAGTTTTTATAAATGAATTCTTACGCGTGTTAATAGGAAAAATGCCTCTTTGGAAGAATTGAATATTTTTAAGCATTTATCATCAAAATGGTATGTTAAAATCGGCAAGATATTTGGGTTTTCTCATAAAACACATGTTGATATCTCGTAATATAAAAAATAACCGTTAGAGCAACTAATGTCATTTTTTGAAATAAATGTAATTGTATTTGCTTGCCACTTGTAATTTAAAGATATACCGTATGATTTGGACGATCATGTACTTAACTAAACTTTTATCCGTTGTTTACAAAGGAATATTATTTCCAGACATTACGAGCATTCTTGCCAAGTATGATAGAAAAAAATCACGGTCATGTTGTGGCAATTTCGTCAATAGCAGGACTTTTTGGAAGTTCTTATGGAACGGTCTA